ATACTATGTGGTCAGTTCACTACTGTTTATCACTGTTTAAGAATCAATTAATAAAAAAAAATATTGAATGTGAGATAAATAACCACAAAGCTTCTTTAAAGTATCTGTAAACCTCCAACATTGAAGTTGAGCAAAACACATCCTTCTATACTACGTACTGCCTCTATTCAAAGCACTGAGTGTGATTTCTCTCTGCTGCCTCCTTCCTCTTTTATCTGCATGAGTCATTTCTGGCAGCTTTTTGCAACACTAAAAAATAAAAAAGTGATGGGGGGAGGAAAGCTCCAGCCTGACAATCACAGCTGTGCATGTTATCTGTGTACTGTGTGAAGGAGTGCCCCCCTTCCCTCCAATCAGCGTTCAATGCTCTACTCAGTGATATTGACACTGTGAGACAAATTTATTTTTTTAAGCTCAAGCAGCAGAGGTGGGAATATGATCTGTGTATTTTGGAACAATCTACAGAAGAGATGGCTGGAGATTAATGGATACAGTTATGTAGGGAAATTTGTTTCATGTCTGTGTATCCCCTGATGCTAGTCCCTGGGTTTATGTGAGGGTTTTCAACCACTTTAAAGTCAATTCTTACAGAAAAAAAACAAAAAAAAAAAAAAAAAAGTTTAACTCAGCACTGGCTGGTAAGTGAAAAGAAAACAATTTATCCGTGTGATAATGTACGATCTTAATTGTACAGTAGAGAACATAGGAATAATATTCGTACACCAACGGTTAAAGGCATGTACATTTAGGTGATTGGACATTGGCAAAACTTTAGAGGACATACCGTTGTGCACCTCCCCTAAAATCCCTACCCCAGCCCGTGAGTCCCTGGTTTTGTTTGGTGTCACCCTTTGCTTAATCAGTTTATTATTTTTATTCTTTTAACGTATGATTCTTCATTAAACACCTCATTGTCTTTTGATACCAGCATAGAAGCAGTGTATCCAGTTTGGTGGAACCGCAGTAAAACCTTGGGAGCCGTACCCAGACCCCACACTGTGGGATGGCCTGTAATGTTGCTTTGTACAGTGGATCCTGCATGGATGCACACCCTAGTACTTGTCACTTGAGACAGCCACAGGGTGATCTACAGTTACATTTTTGTGGCCCATTGCTATGGAACGCAATACCTGAAGACCCCGTCGGAGCTATGCCCACTGTGACGAATGATGCCTACACCAACCCAGCGTCATGGACAGTTTAAACATGATTGCCTTCTCTCTGTCGATTCCTGTAGAAATAGGGCTATGTTATGAATGTATTCACCTTGCAGTGTACATTTTTCAAACTTTGTGGTAAAGCTAAATCACTCAGAGCTTAGTCTTAGGTGGATGACCATATGTTACATCACACCACTGGTCACACACATTACCGCCACTTCCTCCTAGAGAATGGTTTACACCTTGGTTAGCACATAGTCCTTCCGGATGTGATTACCCTATACTCTGTACCCTATTCCGTGAGTACCGCACAGGGGAATAACCTCACTTGTAGCTATAATGGAGTCGAGGCATAAGGGGGGCTGTGCAAACCCACAGGTAAACATTCGCTCTGCCAAAGGCCTGCACACAACACTCAGAGGAATGACACATCCCTTGCACCGGAGCAGGATCCAGCTCAAACACTGATCTATGCATCAAAGTCTAGCTTTGTTTCAGGCATGCACCCAGGGGCCTATTAGATTAAAGTAGAACTCTCTGCTTCTATGTCACAATTCCCCAGACAGATTATAGCCTGAATACAACCATTTTCATCCGGGGATCAAAAATTCCACACCTTTTTATTCACATTTCTCAACCGGAGTCAGATCCCAATATACCAGCCCTAGAGGACGCATACACAGAAGAGAATGAAGAGGATATTGAGGCAGATATTTTCCCTAGACTGCTGCCATATTGAAGAGGGAGCTGCATGCAACATGCTTGATGACATTGAAAAACTCAATGCCTCGGTCTTGGCATTGTGCAGTCTGAGACTCCCCCATCTCGCCATTTCCCCTTTGGGTACAAAGAGACCTGAAAAATCATGCAAAACACTCCATTTTTATGAACAGATAAAATGCAGAGTCTGATGACTGAATCGCCCCATAAAAGCTTTCTTTGTTCTTGCGAGTTGAGCCCTCTGACCAGCTCTTGCTGCCATTTCAGTAGGTCAAACTGCATGTAACTGCACTAGAGCAATGAACAATCAACATGACCCATTATTTCAGGATGGTGTCACAGAGAAATTGCCTTCTGCTGTTTTTGTTTTTTGTTGTTTTTTTTTTTTTTTTTTTTTTTTTGTGTAGATGCCCTAGAACAGCCTTTCTCAATCGGGGTGCCCCCAGAGGTTCTCAGGGGAGCCGCAGCATCTTGTTAAAGAGAGGCTGTCAGATGAGCTTGAGCTCCTGATCTGCAGACGAACTGGGAGCTCGGTCAGACTGAGCAAAGTGAAAGCAAAGGAAAGGGGGAGTATCTGCTGTGCACTTTGCCTCCTCCTACTGTGCAGTACCCAGGTGCCATATATATGTGTTTGTGTGTGTGTGTGTACATGTGTCTGTATGTGTAACTGTGTGTGCGTGTGGGTACGTGTTTTGTGTGTATACTTGTGTTTTTGTATGTACATGTGTTTGTGTGTGTTTGTTTTTATTAAATATATATATGTGTGTGTGTGTGCTTTTATTACATAGACCCCCTATTCTTGTACTATCAGAACTGCTTTTTAGGGCTTGTTTATAATAGCAGAAAGGACTGCTGCTCCTCTGAATTTCAATACATGCTTAGATTGCTTTTCAGAGACATTTGACAGGTGTTAAAGAAGCAATATGTTGCCTCCTTACCGCATGTTGTAACCCAATAGGTGCAGCATCACCACACACCGCAACCACATGCAATGCACACAGTTGCAGGGTGGTTGCAGTGCAGCCCTATTCACTTGGGAGTATACTTCCAGCTGTAGCCACAGCATGTGTACACCCCCTGATGTTGCCTCTGCAGCTAAAGAGGGAGTATATGGGGGTGGTTAAAAACAGCTCAATCATGTGATTTTACCCATGTCCAATCTCACATGTGAATAAGCCCTTGGTTCACATCTGTCTGGCTGGCTGCATGTAGGGCAGCCCATTAATTTCAGTGTGTTTCCCTACTTACAGAAAAGCAAGGAGAGTCGTCCCTGACCCCTTTTTTTTTTTTTTTTTTTTTTTTTTTTTTTTTAAATTGCATTACACCAAAAAACACCCTGCGTTTACCAATGTGTAGGGTACAATTAAAAATTAATGGCACTTCAGATGAGCAGAGCACTTATTTGCATATCAGGAATGAGCACGATATTACGTGTGTTCTGCTACACACAGTAATGTGAACCAAGCCTTAGACGGGTGCATTGAGACTGAAAGTACTTTTCAAAAAGCTGAGAAAACACTGTCCTAGAACATGTCATGTCAGGCTACTGCTCCAATCAGAGGGACAGATTCCCTGTTTGTCTTCCTCGGGACCACAAAGGTAGCACACAAGCAGCACTCTGAAGTTGAGTCTTCTGGCCCTTGTTGTTTGGACCTGTTGGCCCAGTTGTGTTTGTCTAATGTTGCCCACGCTTCTTGTTCATTTTTTTGGAGACGTCCCATGGCATATGAATACTCTTCCTGTGTCCTGGACTGTATGATTAAGATGAAAGAATTTTGACTTGGCTGTAAGTTTAATATCTTGGAGTACAGTACAGGACACAGGCCATCCTCTTTCATTCCTTGGTTTACTCTGCATTGCTTGCTCCAAAACCGAGGACTCAGAGTGGGGTAGGGTCAATAGAAGAGGCGCCCAGGGGTTGTGTCCTCTAAAGGTTTCCTATAACTTGAAGGTGCATGCCTATAACACGGTGTATGAATACTCTACCTGTGTCCTGTACTATACTCTGATATAGAATTTTACAGGTAAGTCAAAATTTTTTCCTTTTTGTTAGCTTGCGAATGTAAACAATTTGTAACATTGCACCAGAAGAAGATAATTTTGTGAGTGAAGGTTCACTCAGAATATACAATATGCATAGTTTCACAGTTCTTAGTGTGTTTTCATTAATCCCACTCTTCTGCACTCTTATAGCCTGTGAAAAGAACAGAGAAAAACAAAAAACATAATACTAAATGTATTGCCAAATATCGCCATATAAAATTCTTTTACTTATTCAGTAAACGAGGCATGTTTTTTGATTAACTACTTTTGAGAAAAATAGAACATGAGTGTTTTAACGCAAAAAATCAAGCGGTCTTTAACTCTTAGTGAATTTACTCCACTGTGCCATTTATAAAGATATTTAATTCAAATGCCATACCTGTAGACATTTTCTGTCACTCTTGAAGCCTGTCCAATATACATGACAGCTGTTGGGTGCTCACTCAAAACATTGCAAAAGTGAGCAGGCTTCCCACTTCAAAAACTGTGCATGTGCAGTGCGCTGTCTCCTAATTCAACAAGGACTATCCAGTTGCACATCCCCACCAGGGTTCTTGCACTGCTGTGGCCCCTTTCAATCTTGTACTCTAAGCAACAACAAAATGGCCACTGAGTGTCCTTTTTTGAGGACAACTTAAAAGATTATCATTTTGGTTGTCCCCAAAAAAGGAGGCTTATGGCCTGAAAATAAGCCAGGACATAGAATTGCAAATACTGGGATTATTTCGGTCAAGCTTCATGGGTGATGTAAAACAACCTACAGGTATGGAATTTGCGTTAATATTTCAGTGGATTTTAGACTACGGGGCCCCTTGTCTGCATAGGCCATAGGAGTTGCCTGTTGTAGTAACAAGCGCACAGTTTTAGTTTAATGTTGCAGAAAAGCACCAGAAAGTTGTTTTTTTTTTTTTTTGTTTTTTTTTTAATCAGTAGCAGTTTATAAAAAGTAGTTATTACTGCAAATTCCTAATTGTACTCTTATTGCTGAAAAAGAAATTAGAGCTAAATCACTAGAAGAAAATGTAAAGATCGCAGTATATGGTTTACATGTAACTTACAATGTTATTTATTTTCATAGTTTGAAAATGATATATCTGCATTTACATATGAGAGGACATTAATGATGGAGCAAAGATCTCAAATGCTAAAGCAAATGCAGCTGTCTAAGAACGAAAGAGAAAGAGAGGTAAAGTGTTATATGTATTTATTTTATTTTTTTTATAAACATTTTATTTAATTTTTTAAGTATAGATTGAGAAGCATAGAGAAGGCAGGAGTACAATCATGTGAAATGGGTAAGGAGAAAGGTATTGTGGGGGTGGGTGGGAATAAGTAACAAAAATATACCTTTTTATTTTTGTATTGACATACCCAAAGTTACACAGAGATCTACAATCTGTTGATGAGTGTTACAGAAGACAAGTTGAATAAAATTGTGAATCTGTTTACTTATGAATTGTTAAAGTGTATGTTACTCTAAATATTGTTTTATGTAAGTGTTCACATGTTTTAGAAATCATAGTCTCTATCATTTTGATCCTGACAGGTCTAAACTGGCTACACAGAGCACAAAGAAGTTGATTTGTGCTTTCGTGGTCAGTTTTCATCCTTTGGCTGGCCATTCAGAGGTACAGGACACTGTGCAGACACACAGCATGCTTGCACTGGGTAGTTTGTTCAGCCATGGCTGAAGGGCATAGGGCTCAAAGAGGAGGGAAGCATAGATCGCATGAGGCTCTGAGAGCAGGGAAAAAGAATAGTAGTAATAAAAGGAAAGGTAGATTGGAAAAAGGGGGGGGTCAGATTCTGCATCTGTTGAGGAACATGAAGTAGAGGGAGCTTGTATATAATCTGGGAGGATGTGGTGAAGTGATGTGGCTGGTCGTGGGCACTACTGTGTTACAAACTGCATTGCCAAGGGGGGGGGGGGGATTTATACCAGAGGGGACTGCCCATAGGTGGTGCCGTGTTCTTTTCTGTCTAGTGTCCTACTTCTGTAGGTGGCACTATAAAACCCTAGCCTCAAGAATCAGCAGAGCTGTGTCTGTCAAAAAGGACTTTACTGTCAGTATCAAAAAATCCTGTCTAGGCTCACCTTGACTAGGGTAGTACAGAGGACGATTTCATTTTTGGACCAATATTGAAAACTCTTTAAAATGCTTCATCAGGAGGAGCATATTTGTGTTTGAGGTACATGTGAAGGTCAGTTTTTTTTTTTTATGTTTTGGAATCTTAATATGTTAAACACTGACTGATTGGTTAAGGTTATCAGAAGGGTTCTGATCACTACTGCAGGCAATCACTTGATCACAGAATGTTGGAAACAAATGGCTTTTGGAGGCTTCCCATCTCATGTCATGCATCCTCGGTCATTCCACATGCAGAGGACATTTTGGCTAGTGATGGCCTGCAGAATTTACAGCCAAGAAGTGGTTACTTTGCATAGCCTTTAAGGTTTCTTTTGGTTTACCCTAGATGCCACCTAGGACACTTGAGCTCAGTGGATATCAGGGATGCATATCTACATGTCCCCATATTTCCAGCATACCAGCAATCCCTACACTTTGCTGTGGTTCCCCTGCACTTTCAGTTCGTGGCTGTGCCATTCGGCCTCTCTTTCTGTACCTTGGGTGTTCATCAAGCTGCTGTCCTCAGTACTGGTTGTGCCTGTGCTCTCAGGGGAATTCCTGAGATAGCTAGATGACCTACTGAGGGAACAGTTGATCCTGGCTGACAACGTAGCTTTGACTGACCAAACTTTGCAGAGGTTTGGATTGATTCTGCACCTTCAGAAATCAATGCTGGAACTGACTCATCTCTTGAAGTATCTGGCTGTAGTCTTTATAGTGTTTCTTTCTCAGGAGAAACTTGAAACGCTCCACTTCCAGATTCATAATAATCAGTCCAGAAGTCAGTCGACCCTTTGATTTTGCATGAAATCCTGGAACTAATGGTAGCTTATTTCGAGGCAGTCCCAATGACTCAGTTTCACTCCACACCCCTACAATACAACATTCTGTCATCATGGGACAAATCAGTCCAGTGCTTGAACAGACCATTTAGTCTGGCAACAATAACCATATTGTCTCTGGCTTTGTGGCACAGAAGTCTTGCTTTGGAGTCAGGTAACTCCTTTACTATCTTTTGAAAGATCTTCATGATAGATGTTAGCCTGTTTGACTGGAAAGGAGTTTAAGCATCCTCCCAGTGCAGGGGACTTGGTGTTAAAAGAATCTTGTCTCCCAAGCAACATCCTTCTGTCTTGTCCAACTTTACATCCCAGACATGGACAGTTAGCAGGCATATTTCCTCAGCTGGCAGCATCTGGGGAGTGATTCCTACACCCTAAAGTGTTCTGGGCTTCTGTCACAGGTGGGGGTATGTCAAATATGGAACTCCTGGCTTCCAGATTTAACAACAAACTGGACATTTGTGTATCGAGGTACACGATCCTCTGGCAGAAGCAGTGGATTCTCTGATTGTCCAAGAGATCAGTAAGCTCTTATCTACAGCTTACCTCCCCTGATACTTGGCACAGGCACTTATAGTATTCCAACTTGAAAAGACTCTTGGCAGATGCACTATGGGATCTTAAAGATCACCTGGATCTTCAGTCTCAAGGACCAATTTTACCATCCTGCTTCACAGTCTCTAGTTTAATGGCTAGGCTGTTAAAGCCCGGGTTGTAAAGGACAGAGACATCTTTGAACTGTTCATTCCCATGAGGCTAAAAGCTAGGAAAGTCTACTTCTCCCAGGGTCTATCACTGTATGTGGAAGAAACACTCCACTTGGCGTGAGCCATGAGGCTTCCACCTTTACTAAATTGCTCCTTGGGACAAATACTCTCCTTCCTTCAGCTGGGAATAGACCAGTATTTGTCTCTCAGCACTATTAAGGGTCAGGACACCGCTCTTGCTATCTTGGTCCATTGGCTTCCCATTCCATAATTAAGACCTTTTGTCCGGGGTGTCTCCCATGCGACTCCCTCTATTCATCCTTTGAGACTAGTGGAATCTGAATTTTCACCACATGTCAGTAACAACCTATGCAATCCATACATACAAATAAATAAACCAAAACAAATAAGTTCAGAAATTAAGTTGTATTGAATAACATAGGGAAAAAGTATTGAACACATGAAGAAAGGGAGGCACAAAAAAAGCATGGACACCAGCTGAAATCTAATAGTAATTAGAAAGCAATCCTGCTCCATGTCAGTGCAAATTAATATCAGCTGGTTGTCTCAACTAATAGCCTATAAAAAGGTGTCTCATTACCAAGGAGTCACACATCTCATGATAGGTAAAAGCAAAGAGCTCTCTCAAGACCTTCGCAACTTTTTTGTTGCAACACATATTGATGGCATTGGTTACAGAAGGTTTCTAAACTTCTGAAATGAGCACTGTTGGGGCCATAATCCAGAAGTGGAAAGAAAATCATTTCACCATAAACTGGCCATGACCAGGTGCTCCTTACAAGATTTCTGACAGAGGAGTGAAAAGAATTATCAGAAGAGTTGTCCAAGAGCAAAAGACCACTTCTGGAGAGCTTCAGAAAGACCTGGAATTAGCAGGTACAATTGTTTAAAAAAAAAAAAAAAAAAAAAAAGTAGTACTCAAGCACCATGGCCTTTATGCACGCTCACCACACAAGACTCCATTGCTGAAGAAAAAAGATCTGAATGTTGAAACTTGTTTAAAGTGTGCTGCACAACGTTTAGGTAAGCCTGTGAAATACTGGGAGAATATAGTCTGGTCAGATGAGACCAAAATTTAACTCTTGGATTCCATAATGCACACCATGTTTGGAGGTCAAATGGCACTGCATTTCACCCCAAAACACCATACCAACAGTGAAGTTTGGAGGTGAGAACATCATGGTATGGGGCTGTTTTTAGCATACTGTACTGGCAAACATCATGTCATTGAGGGAAAGATGAATGGAAAAAATTAACCAAGACATTCTTGATAAAAATATGCTCCCATCCACCAGGATGATGAAGATGAAACAAGGGTGGACATTTCAGCAAGACAATGATCCAAAACACAAAGCCAAGGAAACTCTCAATTGATTTCAAAGAAAGAAATAAAACTGCTAGCATGGCCCAGTCAATCACCTGACTTGAATCCAATAGAAAATCTACGGAAAGAACTAAAGATCAGAGTTCATAGAAGAGGCCCACGGAATAAGACAAAATCACACCTGTGCAATGAATACGAGTAGTTTCTCCACACAGGAGGGGTTTTGAAGCTGTCATTAACAACAAATGATTTTGTACCAACTATTAAAGTGGTTCTAAAGGCTCAAGGTTTTACAGGCTCAAGTATTAAAGTGGTTCTAACGGCCCCCAATACTCACCTAAGCCCCCTCTCGATCCGGTGAAGTGCACTGGAGTCTTGGCTATCCCGGAGCTCCCTTCTCTTATTGGCTGAGACAGAAATGAGAGCCATTGGCTCCCACTGCTGTCAATCGCAGCCAGTGAGCCAAAAAGAAAAGAGAGGAAGTGGGGTTGAGCTGCGGCTCAGTGTGTGAATGGATACACGGAGCAGCGGGTGCCCCCATAGTAAGCTTCTTGCTGTGGGGGCACCCGACAGGAGGGAGAGGCCAGTAGAGCCTGTGGGGGACCCGAGAAGAGGAGGATCCAGCCTGCTCTATGCAAAACCACTGCACACAGCAGGTAAGTGTAGACATGTTTATTTTTTCTTGAAAAAAAATAAGCATTTAGAATCACTTTAAATTATTTTCATTTGGCGTGTTCAATACTTTTTCCTCTTGTCATTCCATTTTATTACACATCACTTAATTTCTGAACTTATTTGTTTTGGTTTCTTTGTATGTATGCATTGCATGAGTTGTTACTGACATGTAGTGGAAATTTCATGTCATTAGCACCTTTAGAAATATACACTATATTGGCAAAAGTATTGGGATGCCTGCCTTTATAAGCACTTTAATGGCATCCCAGTCTTAGTCCGTTGGGTTCAATATTGAGTGGCCCACCCTTTGCAGCTATAACAGCTTCAACTCTTCTGGGAAGGCTGTCCACAAGATTTAGGAGTGTGTTTATGGGAATGTTTGACCATTCTTCCAGAAGCGCATTTGTGAGGTCAGGCATTGATGTCGGAAGAGAAGTCCTGGCTCACTGTCTGCTCTAATTCATCCCAAAGGTCTTCTATCAGGTTGAGGTCAGGCCAGTCAAGTTCCTCCACCCCCAAACTCACTCATCCATTTCATTATGGACCTTGCTTTGTGCGCTGGTGCGCAGTCATGTTGGAACAGGAAGGGGCCATCCCCAAACTGTTCCCACAACGTTAGGAGCATGAAATTGTCCAGAATGTCTTGGTATGCTGATGCCTTAAGAGTTCCCTTCACTGGAACGAAGAGGCAAAGCCCAAACCCTGAAAAACAACCCCACACCATAATCCCCCCTCCACCAAACTTTACTTGGCACAATGCAGTCAGGCAAGTACCATTCTCCTGGAAACCGCCAAACCCAGACATGTCCATCGGACAGCCAGACAGAGAAGCGTGATTGGTCACTCCAGAGATTCACTGCTGTAGAGTCCAGTGGCGGTATGCTTTACACCTTTGCATTGCACTTGGTGATGTAAGACTTGGATGCAGCTGCTCGGCCATGGAAACCCATTCTATGAAGCTCTCTATGCACTGTTGTGCTAATCTGAAGACCACTTGAAGTTTGGAGGTCTTTAGCTATTTAGACAGTTTTGCAACACCCCTCCGGCTAACGGTCAAGCCATATCAGCTGCTTCCACTCAGGAGCGATCTGTTGTTACAGGGTCCTCTGTGTCACTCAAAAGTAGAAAATTTACATCTCAGGGTGGTTTCTGAAAAGCAACTGCTAGAAAAGAAAGGCATCTCAAAATGCTTAGTAGACACTGTGACGAGAATGACTTTGGGTGGGGGGGCCCATGGAACACAGCTCACTTTGGAGAGGTGGGGAGACCCCTGTCTCAGCTCCCCATATCCCTCTTATGTGTAAGTCACCCTGTGCCTGTTAGGGGTGCAGGGTGAAATGTCCTGATATTGTGTAGACATGTATAGGTTGGGGTTGTTCATTGTTTAATGCCATGTGGTTGTATCCCATTGTTCTATTGTGTCTCTTGCTTGGGAGCAAACTATTATGGGATGTATGTGTTTGTCTATTGGCTTGGTGGGGGTGTTTCCAGCAGCCCTTCCCCCTGATGGGACTACCTGCTGATGTGTTTCTTGTTACCGGGTGTGTATTGCCCCGCCCTGTGTACATACAGTTGCAAGAAAAAGTATGTGAACCCCTTGGGATTACGTGGAGTTTTGCATGAATTGGGCATAAAATGTGCTCTGAACGTCATCTAAGTCACAACAATAGAAGAACACAGTCTGCTGAACATAATACTACTACACAAACATTAGATGTTGCCATGGTTTAATTGCACATAACATGTAAACATTCACAGTGCACGGAGAAAAAAGTATGTGAACCTTTGGACTTAATAACTGGTTGACCCTCCTTTGGCAGCAATAACCTCAACCAAACGTTTCCTGTAGTTGCAGATCAGACCTGCACAACGATCTGGAGTAATTTTGGACCACTCCTCTTCACAAAACTGTTTCAGTGTAGCAATGTTCTTGGGATGTCTGGTGTGAATCGCTCTCTTAAGGTCATGCCACAGCATTTCAATCGGGTTGAGGTCAGGACTCTGACTGGGCCACTCCAGAAGGCATATTCTGTGCTGTTGCAGCCATTGTTTTGTTGAATTACTTGTATGCTTTGGGTCATTGTCCTGTTGCATCACCCATCCTCTGCGGAGCTTCAGTTGGCGGATAGATGGTCGTACGTTTTCCTGCAAAATGTCTTGATAAACTCTGGAATTAATTTTCCCATCAATGTCAATAATCCGTCCAGGCCCTGAGGCAGCAAAGCAGCCGCAAAACATGATGCTCCCTCCGCCATGTTTTACAGTGGGGATGAGGTTTTGATGTTGGTGTGCTGTGCCTTTTTTTCTCCACACATAGTGTTGTGTGTTCTTCCCAAACAACTCAATCTTGGTTTCATCTGTCCACAGTATATTTTGCCAGTAGTGCTGTGGAACATCCAGGTGCTCTTTTGCTAACTTCAAACGTGCTGCAATATTCTTTTTGGACAGCAATGGCTTCCTCCGTGGTGTCCTCCCATGTACTCCATTCTTGTTTAATGTTTTCCTTATTGTAGATGTGTCAACAAAAATGTTAGCATGTGCCAGAGATTTCTGTAGGTCTTTAGCTGACACTCTGGGATTCTTCTTTACCTCATGCAGCATTCTGTGCTGTGCTCTTGCAGTCATTTTTACAGGACGACCATGCCTAGGGAGAGTAGCAACAGTGCTAAACTTTCTCAATTTGTAGACAGTCTGTCTCACCGTGGACACATGAACATCAAGGCTTTTGAAGATACTTTTGTAACCCTTTCCAGCTTCATGCAAGTCAACAATTCTTGATCGTAGGTCTTCTGAGAGCTCTTTTCTGCGAGGCATGGTTCACGTCAGACAGTGCTTCTTGAAAACAGTAAACCCAAAACAGGTGTGTGTTATTTAAGGGCAGGGCAGCTGTCAGCAACACATCCAATATCATCACACTGATTGGAGTCAAGGTTGGCTCACTCCTGGCTCCAATTAGCTCTGGGAGAAGTCATTAAGCTAGGGCCTCACATACTTTTTCCTCCTTGCACTGTGAATGTTTACATGTTATGTGCAATTAAACCATGGCAACATCTAATGTTTGTGTAGTATTATGTTCAGCAGAGTGTGTTCTTCTATTGTTGTGACTTAGATGACGTTCAGAGCACATTTTATGCCCAATTCATGCAAAACTCCACGTAATCCCAAGGGGTTCACATACTTTTTCTTGCAACTGTATCTTGTCTTTGTGTTAAAATAAAGTAGTCTATTTCCTGTTTTTACTTCGAGTGGTAGCCCTGGATCTGTGTTCGGACAGGGAAGCGGGGGTCTAACGGAAATACCCTAGTGCAGTCGGGGTCCCGTTCTGTTACAGACACTCTCCTAGTAAGTTGTATATATATAAATCATGGTGCCTGGCCAGTTCAAGTCCCTCGGAAGATCTCGCCTCAATCCCAGAGTTTCTTCAACAAGGGATAATAAGAAATTGGCTATCAGCACGTTAAAAGTCCAGGTTGCAGTTTAAGGGGTCTTTCTGGAGCACTCAATCTCCTCTGAACCCTTAGTCATCAGATTTTGTAAGACTTTTATCTCAATCCAGACTAATTAATGCTAAAGCCTTTACCAAATCGGATCTTTCAGTAGTCCTAAAAGCTCTAACCAAATCTCCTTTTGAGCCTTTGGGGTCTGCAACATTGAAGTATGTCACACTGAAGACAGTTCTACTAATTGTGGTCACCTCCGCACACAGAATTAGTGATCTACATGTGTTGTCAGTCAGAGATCCCTTTCTGATGATTTATCCAGACAGGATTGTCATGAAAACTGATCCAGCCTTTCTCCCAAAAGTAGTGTTGGTTTATCACCGTTCTCAAGACATTATTTTGCCAACTTTTTGTCCTAATCCATCAGGGGAGAAGGAAAGAAATTTTCATCCTTGAGACGTGAGAAGAATGGTTTTACGTTATTTGAAATTAAAGAGAGATTTGAAGAGTTCTAAATCTTTTTTTCTTTTGTTTGCTGGGACTAAAAAAAAGGGCAGAAAGCCACTAAAGGATCCATTGCTCGATGGCAATCGAATCAACATCTAACTTTTCTGATCTTGTTCCACTGATGGACGTTCATGCTCATTCCATGATAGCTATGGCAGCCACATGTGCAGAGAAGGCCAGTGCCACCCCAGAACAAATATGTAGAGCGCCGACATGGTCAAATATGTCCACCTTTTGCGCCACTACAGACTGGATTTATTATCAGCTGGGGAGCAGGCCTTCGGTTGTAAGGTTCTGCAAGCTGTGGTCCCGCCCTAAGGGGTAAGATCTCGTTTATCCTCTCATGCTGTCCTGAAAGACATTTTGAGAAAATCAAAGTTAGAATGACTTGTTTTTTCTAGTAGTCTTTCAGGACAACAGTAATTGCCCACCCTGATATTGTTTATGCTACCGTGCTTATGTTTTTCAGATGGACTTGAGATACTCTTCGACAACTGAGGACTGTGGAGAGATGCCTCCAATTTAAAGACTGATGTGGGTGTGTTTCCTGCATGAGGAGGAAGATCTGTGTTTTCTCATGTGCTGTCCTAAAAGACTACTGGAAAACAAGTTACCAGTAAGTCTAACTTGGATTTTATTTAGGAAGACAGCTTTGATTGTTTCTCATATAGTAGGACTATCTAGCCATATTCTATATTAGAAAATTTTTAGAACTTTGAGGAAAGCTCATTTGTTTCTAAATGTTAACTTTTTCTACTGGTGTCTTTCTTCAGGCACAGCTTATCCATGACAGAAATACAGCATCCCATTCGGCAGTGGTGGACAAATCAAGTGCTGCTACACCAGAAAAGGTTCAAATGACATGGACTAAAGAAAAACTTATTGCTGAAAAACATAAAATTAAAGACCTTAATGCAGGAGGCTATAGGGACTTATTTAATATGAAACCGTAAGTACCTATGAACCTTTATAAGAAATGTATTTTTGCATGAGTTTAGGTAAAATTTTATTACCTCCTGTGACACGACTTATGGTTGCCATAAACAGTTGCTTTAATTCATTCTCTTTTTAAAATCAAATTATCTTTATCGTACACTACAGGAATTGATTCTTAGACCATGTGTCATATGCCACTACCTTCAGGTGATTGGAAACTGACAAAAGCCTTGTTGAGTCTGTCCCCTAGTACCCTCATATAACCCTGGCCATCCGAAGGCTCCAGTATTTTGCTAGTGTTTTTAGGGGATGGATGCCTTCTTCTCTTGCTGACTACAGTGCCTTGAAAAAGTATTAATACCTCCTTGAAGTTTTCCACATTTTATGTTGCAACCAAAAACGTAAATGTCTTTTTTGGGGATTTTATGTGATAGACCAACACACAGTGGCACATAACTGTAAAGTGAAAGGAAAATGATAAATGGTTTTTAAAATGTTTTTACAAATAAATACCTGAAAAGTGTGGCGTGCATTTGTATTCAGCCCCCCTGAATCAATACTTTGTAGATCCACCTTTCACTGCAGTGACAGCTGCACGTCTTTTTGGGTATGTCTACCAGCTTTGCACATCGAGAGAGTGAAATTCTTGCCCATTATTCTTTGCAAAATAGTTCAAGATCTGTCAGATTGGATAGAGAGCGTCTGTGAACAGCAATTTTCAAGTCTGGCCACAGATTCTCAATTGGATTTAGGTCTGGACTTTGACTGGGCCATTCTAGCACATAGTTAGTTAGTCTGGCTGAAAAAAGACAAAAGTCCATCCAGTTCAACCATAAAAGCAAAAAAAAAAAATGTTCTAATCCTATAACAGTTGATCCGGAGGAAGGCAGAAAACCCAGCAAAGCATGATCTAATTTGCTCCAGGGGAAAAAATTCCTTCCTGATCCCCGAGAGGCAATCGGATATTCCCTGGATCAACTTTACTTATAAATGTTAGTAACCAGTTATATTCTGTGTATCCAAGAAAGAATCCAGGCCTTTTTAACCCCTTCACACTTAAGGGTAAATCAAATATTAATGCCTAAGCACAATTTTGCAACTTTGACCTGTGTTAGTAAAACCGTACATATCATCACAACTACTTTGTATATCCAGGTGGATTATACTGCATTTTTTGTTTTTTTAGGACAAATTGGGCTTTCTTGTAGTGGTAAATGGTAATGGATATCTCCTGATGTATTTATTTTTTTTGTATTATCAAAGGAAAACTGCCCCAAAATAGTAAAAAAAATGTTTTAAATTTAGCGGTGTTTCTTGTTACTACCATAACCTACCACCAAAGAACAACCCAAAATAAATTTTCCAGCTCTTGGTGATTGCAGAGATACCATTCATGTGTGTGTTATTTGTTGTTTGTACGCACAGTACAGCCCAGAAACAATAGTGCACATTGTTTTTTGATTTGTTGTGTTTTTTTTTATTTTTTCCTAAAACACGCTGACTCTGATGCCAATTTAAAAAAAAACTCCTGCCCTTTGACCCTGACCTTGATCCAAACACTAACCCTGGCACTGAACTAGATCAAATCTTGATCTAGGTTTTTTTTCTTTTGTTTTTATTTCCCTATCCTGTTGGAGTTTAGGATTCTGCTGTTATAAATATGAAGATGGATTATTGAATATCATTACAGTAAAACCTTGGATTCCAAGTAACTTGGTCTGCGAGTGTTGAGCTAAATTTTTTTTTTTTTCAAGTTCATAAACTAACAAGGTCTTGCAATGCAAGTAGTACATACACTTTGTCTGCCGAGCGTTGCATAACAACTGAGTTGATGGTTCTTCTCTCTTTCCTGCTGCGGGATTGTGGATAATCGTCTCCCAGTCTCAGTCGGCATGCCTCACTCATATAGTCAACATCTGTACTGCAACAATGGCCCAGATGAAGAAAAAAAAAGACTGAAAAGGAAGGCGGTAAGAAGGAGATGATTACGGTGGAAGTTAAAAAGGAAGTAATCGAGAAGTATGAATGAGGTATGTGAGTAGCCGACATCGCAAGATTTTATAACAAGTCTACATCGACGATTTGCACAATATTAAATAATAAGAGGGGCTAGATGCAGCAAAATGAGTCACAAGAAAATCAAAGCAACGTCCACATGTTCTGGAAGATGTAGAAAAGTTGCTTCTCGTCTGGATAAATGATAAGCAACTAGCAGCTGATACTGGGTCTGAGAACATCTGCGAAAAGGCAAAGGCCTTGTATGCCGACCTTGTAAATAAACTGCCACGTACGTTGACAGAAAATGAAGAAGGCTTCAAGGCGAGCAGCGGATGGTGGGAGGGAGAAGTTGCATCCATAGTATTGTGAGGCACGGAGTGGCTGCATTCGCTGCCGAGTTCCAAAATCTCATGGTTTTCTTCAAGTGTTACCTGTCGCAGCAAGTTTTTAACTGTGATGAGATATGGGGATTTTTTGGAAAAAGATTCCAAAGAGGATCTACATTACAGCAGAAGAGAATGCAATGCCCTGTAAAAAGACCGTCTCACCCTCTTGTTGTGTGCTAATGCAAACAGGGATTTCAAAATCAAGCCCCTGCTTGTGTATCATTTCGAGAATCCACGAGCCTTCAAGGTGCAGAAGAGCCAGTTAAACGTTATGTGAAGGTCCAACAGCAAGGCTTGGGTCACTCGTATTTTGTTTGTTGAGTGGATCAACAAGCTCTTTGGTCCTACAGTGAAGAAATACCTTTTAGAAAAGAATCTGCCACTCAGTCTTGCTGGTAATGGATAATGCTCCTGATCATCCTCTAAGCCTTGAGGAAGACTTACGGGAGGTATTCGAGTTCATTAAGGTCAAGTTCCTTCTTGCCAACACCACTCCACTACTCCAGCCCATGGATCAGCAGGTAATTTGCAACTTTAAAAAGCTTTAAACCAAAGCATTAGTTCAGTTATGCTTCGAGGTGACTGAAGGAACGAATGTTACCCTCCGAGAGTTTTGGAAAAATCATTTCCACATCATAAACTGCCTCAAGATCATCGATTAAAGCCTGGGATGGGGTCAATAAGAGAACACTTAATTCTGCTTGGAGAAAACTGTGGTCTGATTGTGTTCTTGAACATTACTTTGAGGGGTTTGCTCAGGAACAGGAGCTGCCAGTTGTCGATGAAATTGTGTCCTTGGGGAAGACCATGTTATTGGAGGTAAATGAGAACGACATTCAAGAGCTGATGGAGGAACATGACCAGCAGCTGACCACCAACGTACTGATGGATCTGCATCGCGAGCAACAGCAAGGGGTTATGGAGGAGATCGTCTGAAGAGGATAAAAAGACAGAGGAATCGCTCACTTCAAATGCGATTAGGGAGATGTGTAAAATGTGGGAAACCGTGAAAATTTTGTAGAAAAGCACCACCCGAATAAGGCTGATAAATCTGTTTGACAAGGCAATGTCACATTTGCACTAAATTTTCAAAAGGAGGCAAAAGCAAGTGTCCATGGATAGGTTCCTTGTTAAAGTCTCACAAAAAGAAAAAATTTCCAGTGAGCCAACCGATAGCAGTGATCTCGTTAGTGATAGACGTCCTAAACAATAACCCTCCTCCTCTTCCTCCTCTCTCTCATCTCTCTCACACCAGCCCAGATTCTTTTCAAAGGTAAAGTGCAAGCAATTTTTTTTAATTTTACTTTGTACTGTATTTTGTATTATTGTAAACATTTTTATATAAAATAGTTGTGGAACGAATCATCTGAGTTTCCATTATTTCTTATGGGGAAATTCACTTTTATGTACGAGTGCTTTGGATTACAAGCATGTTTCCGGAATTAATTATGCTTGCAATCCAAGGTTTTACTAGATTTATAAATGTTTTTACCTATAGTCACATGATTTTCACACAGGATTCATGTCTTCCAATTGAATCCATTTAGAAAAAAAATGTGTATTTGGTAAAATTTGTTTGAAAACATTTATAAATTAGTGTGTTTTCTTAAAATGAAACTCTAGACAAGTGGCTAAATACACCATTAAAATTTATGTGTAATGTTTTACTCGACAACTTTGCTACAATGCATAGCCAAGATGCTGACGCCGCTATTTTTTTGTTTCGGCTTTGTCCTATGTCCGAAAATGAATCAACCGTATGATGATACTAATTATTTTCCAACTAGATGGCAGATTGATAATGCCGGAAGCTGCAAAACTGAACCAAGAAATAGAGGTGACACTTGTGGAGTATTTTTAAGAAATTTGTATATGTTAAGTGATTTGAATTCAATTAAAAATCATTTCATAGGTAAAACACTTCCCAGATATGTGTTTCAAATGTGAATTGTATATTTTGCTTTTAAGAGGAACTGAAATCTGGAAGCAGTGCTCCAAAAAAGCAGGGGAAGGGCAAAGTAATAGTCACTAAAATCGAATGTGGTTTCCCTGTAGCTAATATTTTTCCTATTACTGACTTAACATGCTTTGTCCTTTATACAGATTCTGTGTAGTGTGACCATCTTGATAAGAGCATTAGGTGCTCCTCCTTGATACGCTGTGCAGCTTGTGGGGATGGTCGACACAAGGGTGTGGGGATGGTCGCAGGGTGCTGTACAGTTTCAGGGTAGTGGTGATCACAGTCCCTGAAGACCACTTCAGGTGTATTCTTTTCCAAAGTGGTGAAGCAGGGTGCTGTTTTCTCTCCTCAATATTGCAGCTGTTCTAGTTACTAAAGGTTGGTAAGTAAGGGCCAGGCCCTTTAATTATGCATAGGAGGTTCTGCTAGGTGTGTTTGAAGATGTTTGTGTCTCCTTCCTCCCAGCCATTATTTTTAAATATTATGGTCTCTGTATTGTTTTCCCATGCTGCTTCAGCCATTATTTCTCCCAAGCTCAAAGATACCATCTCTGCTTTCCGTCTTAAGACTCTGGTGTCTCTCTGCCCTGAAGACACCAGTATGTGATCTAAAAAGGCTGCAAATCCACTCAAAACCTTTCCTGGTCACTCTTTGGTGGAAGTTTTAAAT